GTGGCAACTGACAGATCCCCATCTGAAATCAGGCGAACCCACTGGAAGGGACCTCTCTCTGAATAGCTGTGTCTCTAAATGGACTCAGGAGCAGTTGGGCTTCAGGAACGACTAGAACCAGTACCTTGAATGCGCCATGCTTCTGTTTCTTTTCTGTGCACTTCTGATTCGCCCTTAGCGCTTTCTCTGTAGACCAGCCACTTCTTCCTTTTGGTCCATGTGGCAAAGGGTCCCTAGTCCAAAAGTTTGGAAAAGAGACACATTGTCATATAACTTCCACCAGATGCCCATCCTAGGTGAGTCAGCTATGCCCAGGAGGCATATATATATATATATATATATATATATATATATATATTCCTGAACTCAGTTTGCTTGCAGCCAAGTGATGAGAAAGAGATGTGCAATTAAATAAGTGCAGTAGAGTGGTGTTGGCTGTGGAATATGGGTGTAAGGAATGGTGTAATAATGGAAGTAAAGAATGGGTGGTCAGGCTAAATCAGGCACAACTAGCCTCTGCTCCCAGTGATGGCTACACGCTGGGCACACCGCAGGCTTTCTGAAAGTACTTGAGCTGGTTGAATTATCGTCAGGTATTCTGGGGACCAGGGATGGCCTTGGCATTTTCTGAGTATAAGCGTCATGGGCTTTTTCATTAAGAGGCCTCTTTGTCAGGATGCCTTTCTGAATTATTTATTGAGTTCTTTTACAGAGAAAGAATTAAGGATACCTTGAGGGGTTTTTTTTTTTTTGAGTTTCAGCCACTTGTTGGGTTGGGTTTTCAAAACTTCAGGTGACCTGAATATGAGTTCCCCTTGATGGCTCTCTAAACTGGTATTGGAAAACCTCCAATAAGACCAATTCATCAATGTGTCTTACAGTTCAGCCGGCCTGGCACTCACCTCCTCCTTAATCACAAGCGCCTTGCTTGTCAGCTGCAGACATGCCCTTGTTCCTTGTCATGGGGCCTGGGAGCCCTTGGCACGGCCCCCCACCCTTTAGTGAGCTGCAGGAAGTCCACACGTGGCCTCACGGTTAGCATCCCCCAGCTTGCTCTTTTACAGGCAGAGCAAACCGATCCTTTTTCCATCTTCTACTGCATTGGGTGACTTTCCGCGTCTTATTACGCACATCCGCATCCTTAAAGCTTGGTTGCCTCAAGCTGAGCACAATTCACTCCAGCCTCATTATCTTGGCTGCGTGTTTCACATCCATATTGTACCATGGCTTTTATTGCCCTTAATCTCCTCTCTACCTTGGCTTGCCCTTCCTTTCATGTTTAATTCAACTTTTTATTTTGAGATCATTGTCATTTCACATGCAGTTATAAGTATTAATACAGAGAGACACCCTATACCCTCTACCAAGCCCCCCTCTTGCAAAACTACTATACAATATCGTAACCAGGATATTGACATTGACAGTCAAGATGTGGGACAATTGCCCGAACATTTTGACTTGCAGGCTCCTTCTCATTATTACTTTCCTTACTCATCTCTTAGGCTCTTCTCTCCTTGCTCTTCTTGGTTATATGTTCATGGTCCCAAGGAATTTAACTGAGTCAAGGATCCTAAAAGACATCTTCTCTTTGATAGGCTGGCTAACTTCTCATGTTGTCAGAGTTTTTAGGGTTGGCAACTCTACCCTTCTTTAAATGCATTGCCTAGAATAAATGTCACTCGGATGGCTCAAGGTGGCCTTACAATTTCTGTAAGGACCTGATCAGCTGGGAGTGCTGCTTGCCTGAATTCAGGCACGTCACACAAGGGTGAAGAATGTGTGGGGGCTGCTATGGTACGAACCCTTTGAGACTGCAGAGCCCTAATCCAAGGCACGTTTCCCCCCAAAGGACAGTTCTGCACCGAGGACGTGGACGAGTGCCTGCTGCAACCCAACGCCTGTCAGAACGGGGGCACCTGCACCAACCGCAATGGAGGCTACGGCTGTGTGTGTGTTAATGGCTGGAGCGGAGATGACTGCAGCGAGAACATTGATGACTGTGCCTTCGCCTCCTGCACGGCGGGGTCCACCTGCATTGACCGCGTGGCCTCCTTCTCTTGCATGTGCCCAGAAGGAAAGGCAGGTAAGGCCAGCAGGAGGACAGTGTGAGCACCGGGCTTTCTGCCTCCTTCTCTTTCACCCCGATAGCTGTGTCCTGTTAACTACCATCTGTAAGAATGGATCACTCAGGATTGTTCTCGTGGAAGTGTAATCGCTAGCCAAAGTGTTATGAAGTTAGCCTTCTTCCTTAGGACATTTCGCTCTCATCTCAACCAAGAAAATGAAAGTTACTTACAATTGACTTGGGTGCACCTATCAACCTTCAGATCTGAGGCTGAAAAGCACCTCAGAAATTAAAGCTAATTTCTCAGAAATTGAGACAAAATGACTAATGGAGACAAAATGACTAATGGACTTAGGGACTTCACTGAAAGAAGAAATAATCTATTTATTCAGAAGGAGTGGGCAGGGGAGAAGCATTTCAGTGCATTTCAGCTCTCAGTGTCTATAGAACTAGCCCTCTCAGGGAGGAGTTTTACCGACTGCCAAGGTAACATTGCTCCAGCCTCAGTGTAACAGCTCCTAGTTCTAGAAGTGGTGAGCAATGACGGGAGGAATGTGATGGAAGAAGATAGCTTAGGTGAGAGAACTGTGTGCCCAGCTGTTCTGAAATGTTCCCATATCTGGGCCTTCCCCAAAGCCCCGCCTCCAGCTTTGTAGAAGAAGCCTTACTTACCTGTTCTTAGGCTAATTGCAGACTGGAAAATCCAGTTCCCACGTGAACCGCACAGAACATGGGGCCCAGTAATATCTTCAGAGTCCTGAGGGCCCTTGAGCCAAGAATGCTGACACTATTAAAAGGCTGGCCTAGTACAGGCTGATGATAGTCGGCTGTTTTTTTTTTTTCCTTCTGAGGCTAGTGAAATGCTGGCGGTCCCACGATCAGCAGCTAGCATGATTTCGGGAAAGCAGGTTGCCACATGTAATCGAGGACGCATGCAATATTTGGGACAGAGAGTAAAACATTATTTATTGTTGATCTGAAATTCCTGTTGACCTGGGCATCCTCTATTTTTATTTGCCAAGTCTGGTAGCACTGTGGGAAGGATAGCCCCATTTTCCTATCTCTGTCATCTCACCATTTTGCTTTATGGCTGAAGATGACTCTACCCTTGAGGAAAAGTCTAGCTGAGGGTTAATCAGAGCAGCAAACAACCAGGGTTGTCTGTGGACGCTCTTTGCTTGGCCGCTGGCTGCAGCGTGTCCCTGAGGGGAAGTTGCCTCCATCTCCATATTGGATTTCATGAGCCAATGTAAGGTTTTCCCTTCTCCGTGAAAGAGACAACTTTTCCCCAAGTAGGGACATTTTCTCTTTGTTCTTGCCCCAACCTGTGCCAGGTCTCTTATGTCACCTGGATGATGCGTGCATCAGCAATCCTTGCCATAAGGGGGCACTGTGCGACACCAACCCTCTGAATGGGCAGTACATTTGCACCTGCCCACAAGGCTACAAAGGGGCTGACTGTACCGAAGACGTGGATGAGTGCACCATGGGTGAGTTCACGGCATCTTTCCTCTGCCCCATGTTGTCTGTCAAGCTCAGCAAGCATTTAAACCAAAGCATATGTTCCTCTGGGAGCACGTTTCACCCAACCTCAGATCTCCCCAGTTATATGCCTACTGTTTACAACTAACCTTTCAGTATAACCATATAGTCTCTTGTAGGAGTTGAACTATATGGAAGGTCTATGCTTGGTCCTTAATATAAAGCCCTACCTGAGTGATAGTTTGGGCAAAAGAGCAGTAGAGACGCACAGGCGTTGAGATTGCCTTAGCCTTATTAATGAATCAAATTGTTAATAAGGAAATAGGAAATTGAGACGCAAACTATTAGCGCCCGTTCTTTTAATGCTGTCACAATCAGACCTGTAGCCCACATGCGTGGAGACTCCATCGAGTGCTTTGGTCTCGGTAATCGGTGCTTGTCTCTTCCAGCCAATAGCAACCCCTGTGAGCATGCAGGAAAATGCGTGAACACAGATGGTGCTTTTCACTGCGAGTGTCTGAAGGGCTATGCGGGGCCTCGCTGCGAGATGGACATCAACGAGTGCCATTCAGACCCCTGCCAGAATGACGCCACCTGTCTGGATAAGATTGGAGGCTTCACCTGTCTCTGCATGCCAGGTACATGGGCCCATCGGTGTGGAATCTGGGCAGGAGGCACTGAACTTTGCCTCTCTCGGCATGGGGGGTGGAGTGGGGAAGCATTCAGTATTCAGCGGTGCCATGAGCTCCGTCAGCATTTAATTCCCAAGGAAACAGGGTTCCCAGCCAAGGGGACCCTTAAGGAGAGAGGCAGTGTTAGACTTCTTAGAGCTGTGGAGACCGAATTAAACATGCCCCTATGTCAGCATCAGTTCCATGTAAGGGGAAAGTTCAGAAGCGACTGTTTTTATGCAAGTGTTCTTTGCTTTAATAAAGGATTTACCGCAAGAATCCTTTCAATAGCAGCTTTTCTGATTCCCTTATATTTTACAAATAACCATGCCATCCCAATTACAGAAATTTGTTTTACCCATGATTATATAGGAACTTGCCATTTATCCACAGTGATGCATACAGGTTCATTAGTTGTATACTGGAGCTCTTCAGCAGAGACCATTTCTTGAATCCTCAGAGAGCACCGCTCAACCCAGCTTACAGTGAAGGCTGACAGTGGTTGCTTTGCCTCATTAAGGATGCTAGCTAGCTGCTCTAGCCGCAGGAGGCCCTCCTGACCTTGACCTGCGCCCTGAGAGCAGCAATATCTCCAACTCTGCTGGTCGTCAGCAACATGGAGCGGGAAGCCCATGGCCCTGGCACTGCTGAAAGCAGAGCCTGGGCTGATCAGGGAATGGGGGCAGCCTCTGATGGCATGCTGGGTCTTACCCATGTCCTGGAGGTCGCCGCTTCCCCCTCTCCACAGTGACTTGGCTGTCCCAGAGCGTTCTCATCTGAGCTAACAGCCATTATCTCCCCATCACGGCAGAACCCCTTTACCCTCTGCAGAAATGTGCCTGCTCATGGAGGATGTCGTCATCTTAGCACATTTGTGCTTTCTTGGCTGGACTATGCCTTTCGCTCTTTCTGAGCCACTTGTGTGGTCCGTTTTGTTCAGGTTTCAAAGGTGTGCATTGTGAATTGGAGATAAACGAATGTCAGAGCAACCCTTGTGTGAACAATGGGCAGTGTGTGGATAAAGTCAATCGCTTCCAGTGTCTCTGTCCGCCTGGTAAGTGCCTACCACCTGCCCCTGTTTTCTTTGAAAGCACCAAACGGACTGACCACAGGGAAGGGAGGAGGGAGAGAATGTGTGTGGGCTGGACATGAGGAAGTCATTAAAGTGAGCCCTTCAGGATGGGAGTGTGTGTGTGCACAGAAATGGGGAATTTGGTCAGTGAGTGTGTCTTTCAAATCCTTTGTGGCCAGAAGTCCAAGTCTATTCTGAATGGCCCATGACCTCGCTGTCTGTGTGTACATTTCAGAAAGCTCGTACCTCACAGAAGGCTTAGTTTTACACTATTCAGGGTTTTATTTTTTTCCCCATGGGTCATATTCTTGAAACCCCTTTGTGAGATTATTATATTTAGACATTTCAGCCCTGGGTGTAGAAACAGACAACACAAGTCACTTATTCCAGATATGGCTCTGCCTCTCCTTTTGCTCCTCAAAGCTACTATTGAAAAGATGCCAAATATTCTGCCATGGACTGTAGCCTTTCTTGTTTCTTTAGAGAGAAGGTCCCAGTTCCTCTGATACTACGCTCGTTTGAGGGCGCCACCTATAACCACTCAGTCCCTATTTTAACTAGAAGTGAATCTGCATGGGGAAGACACAGAGGTAGAGACACACACAGGTGCCTGCCTCTGATGGCCTGAGTGTCTCCCAATTCTCCCCGTTACCTGTTGGGGAGAATAATTTTACTTTTGCTGACCCATTGGTATAAGCCCTGCCAACTTCACCCAACGCTTCTTGGGCATCGTGCTCATCGTCCCGGAAGACGTAGGATCACCCTCTGACTTGTGTTATCACTGTGCCCTTTTAAGGTTTCACTGGCCCGGTCTGCCAGATTGATATTGATGACTGTTCCAGTACTCCGTGTCTGAACGGGGCCAAGTGTATCGATCACCCGAATGGCTATGAGTGCCAGTGTGCCACAGGTAAGGCTTTTCTCACTTTGTATTCCCCGGGGAGGCCACCCTCTTCTCACCACCCTACCAGGTCAGTCCCGTAACCGGGCTGCTGTGTGTAGAGCCACCTCCTTCCAGCATATTTTTTTTGCTGCTCTCACGTACATCCTGTACAACACCTGCCTTCTTCTCCGGCAAAATAGTGGCCTGGCTGGGACACTTGGTGTCCATGTCTTTCTGGGACAGATTTTGGCAGCGGTGGGTTTCCAGCTGGCTTGACTTCGTCCTTTGGGAAAGGGAAGAATTCCAGTTGAAAGCTAGTTTTCACTGGGTCTTCTCAGCAGGAGGCCTGTCTCTGTGTTTCTTGAGGCAAGTGATGGAACAAAGGCCCAGAAATCTATGGGCAGTTGTGTGCCAAGGCAGAGGTATTCTGCATGAAAGATGACTCATGCAGTGAGCGGCAGGTGTGTCTCTGAACAGGAGAGAGAGCGCCCTGTCTGGGATAGTTTGGGTCCTCTTTCCTGACTTCTGCTACTGAAATCCAAAAGCATCTATTTACAAATGTGTGGCCACGTTTCTCATTTGGGAGTGATCTGAATATGCCAAACATCCCCTGTGACACATTTGCTTCTGCACAGACCAATGTAGAGAAGGGCTAGGAATGATTAGAAAAGGTGACTTCCTAATTTCCTTTTTATCCCACTGCTTAAGGGAGAAAGAAATCATGAATATAATTCAAGACATTTTTCTTGTTTTAGAAAATGGGTTCTTCAAGGATTTTAAATATCATGTGCATGATTTCTCTCTGATCCCAGAAAAGCCAACCAAGTCACAAAAATAAACTTAGAGAATGAATATTTCAGTAGTATTGGAACATCTCCACTTATAAGGCCTACTTAGACTAGGTCCTAGCAGACAAACCGCTCACTTCCTCCTCACAAACTGATGTCTCCGGTTGGAGAAGTTCCAGATTTTGTCCTCCTCTGGCTCAGAGAGAATAACCTTCACGGAGGAGAGATGAAGAACCTTGACCTCATGTTTAAAAGGAAGGAAGGCCTCACTGGCGTCTTTTAAAAGAGGTGTAATGTTGAATGAAGACACTTTTATTTGTCCCTTTTTCTTTTGAATGCTCATAATCTGTTCATTTTATTCAACAAGTGTTTGTTGAAAACTTACTGTATATGCATAGCACTCTGGGAGGGGTTGAGAGGAATAAAGAAAAGTTCTCTGAGCTCTAAAGTCAGAATTGGGAAAACAAAGTCCATGAAACCATTAATACAGTACCCATATGTGGGGTGTGGGAGAGAAGGAATACAGAGGTAAACATATACAGGAAAAGTATCTAGAGCTATTCCCCTTGAAGCCCAGTATGGGACGAAGAGGCAGTTAAAGATCCCTGCAACGAAACCGTTGATTGTTTAGGAGAAGGTATTTGAATTCTACAAATTTGATTTAAAAACCTTTATTTTAAGCACAACTCCCTAGACTTGCCTTTTAAATCAATGCAAATCGTCTACCTGCTCATTGGCTGCACTATGAATTATGGCGTGGGCCAGGTAGGACGGGTGGGCATGGCTACACTTCGGTCCAGGCGCTGAGTGTCCGCCCCGGTTCTTACGCCTTCCTGGTTGAATTCCCTCCAAGGATTCAATGGCGTGTTATGTGAAGAGAACATTGACAACTGTGACCCCGACCCCTGCCACCATGGCCAATGTCAGGACGGAATTGACTCCTACACCTGCATCTGTAACCCCGGCTACATGGGCGCCATCTGCAGTGACCAGATAGACGAGTGCTACAGCAGCCCTTGCTTGAATGAGGGCCGCTGCATCGACCTGGTAAATGGCTACCAGTGCAACTGCCAGCCGGGCACATCAGGTAAGCCCGCTCTTGGCGTCTCCTTTGGAGGTTTCACTGCTTCTCAAAATCAGCTCACACAGATGCCTCAGACCTTCTTGGCATATGCTTAGATACCTAAAAAAAAAAATCATCCTTTTTTTTCGGAGAAGCACGGCCAGAAACATCTCGGAGGGAGGAAATTAGAGACGGTAGGTAGCTTTACAAAACTGCTGATTTTGTGTACGTCTTCTCCTTAAAAGGATGCAGGCCACTTCAAAAAAAAAATTGAAATTATTATTTCAAGTAGAAAGACCTCTTGCTTTTGTGGCTTGATTTCATTGTCTTTTTTTTTTTTCCTTTTCTTTTTTAACTTCCGCTGCACTCAGACTAATGAAGTTGGTCGTCTGACCCCTTCCTCTCCCCCTCCTTCCCCCATCTTTCCAATAGTTTTCTCTCGATTTCAGAGTCCGCTATCTTGAAGGTGACACTGCGCCTGCCATTTGTCTCCAGTGGGCTTGGGCGTTTGTGGGGGATTGTGAGGGAGAGGGCAGACTTTGCAGCATACCCCGGTCACTGTAAATTAGAATGCAGCCTCACCACTCGCCATCCCCGAGTTCATTGCCGTTTCCTGAAACCGGTTGAAGGGCTGTTTGTGAGTTGTGAGGGCATGCTGCTCCTTGCTGGGGGAACGCTGAATTATTTTCTCAGGCAGCAGCGTTTCACAGGTCTCACTGGATTCTGTTTTACTTATTTGAGGAATAATTACGGTCACCACTGTGGTTAATGGACAGAGAAGCACTGTGTCTCAGATCAAAGGAAAATGTATTAGTGGAAGATTAACTCGTGTGTGTGCCTTGTCAGAAGGGAACCTGCCCATACCAGGGAGTGATTTATGGAGAACTCATTCTCGATTTAAGGAAAAAGGCCCAGGGAGGGGGCAAAGGTGGGGGAGGTGGTTAGCTGTCCTCATTTTATTTTGTTATTTCCAAATCCATTTCTTCAAACTTGTCAGAGGCTCTGGTCTTCATCCAGGACCTCGTACATGCCAAGTTTGAAAACAAAGTCCTTTTTGAGTTGCTCAAGCATATGAAAAACATCCCATGCCTTCACAGTTGAAAATGCCTTCCCCCACCCCACGTTTAGATAACTCACTAAAAGGGCTGAATAGATCTTTGTGAAACCTTCCAAAAGCAATTTGCTTCCGGGCTGGTCCCCAGACATGAGAAATTGCAGTCCGAAAAGAAATTTGAGAGATTTACAAGCAATTGAATGGATGCCTTTAGAATGGCGGGGCTGTTTTAGGCTCTGCTATCATCCCCATTATAACAAGCATACTGGAAACCTGGGTGAGTGGTGGGTTAGCAAGCACTTGTTTGCTCTGTGATTGTATCAGCATGCCAGGATGTATCAGGTGTGTTCCCTGAGGAGGACAGCGCGGGCACGGTGTAAATAGCTGTCACTAGAAAGGCAAGAAGTAAATGCGAGTGGTGTGCGGGCAGCGTGGAGAAGGGCCGAGCATCTCTCAGAAAACTGCCAGATGTATTCCCGTGAGTGTCAGGAGAATGAAAGCAAAGAGGTGGCAGGCAACATAAAGAAATCTTGTAATGGGTGGAGAGAGACCTGGCATGTAGGGGTCTGGGTGAAAGGATTCGTTCGATCAATCATTCTGAATAGACTCTCAAGTTCTAGAGTAAGAATTCACAACCCACCATAATGTGGTCCTAAGTTGGTAGGCTGGGGTTTGGCTGAGTGTGTTGACAGAAGAGATACTGCACAATGTGCTCATTAGAACTGGTTTCTCGCTTACGGCGAGATGTCCTATTCAAAATCACTTCTGGTGTCTTCTTCACCTCTGGTCTTACGATGAGAAACTGTTCTAAGTAAGTTTTCTTTTTTGGTTTCAAGTCACAGAATCCAGTTTGACTAACTTAAAGAATTGTTAACAACACCACAAAACAGAGAAATAGAAAGAATTTAGTGAAAGCCCAAGACGCCTCTTACGGATGTCAAGTGGGTTTTGAACAATCAGGCTTTGCGGAGATTAGCAGGAAGCAGGGCCATTCGCAGGCCATCGGTCACACAGGTCATATTCCTACATTCCAGTGAGGACATCTCATTGGCCCAGCTTGGGCTGGGTGTCTGTTCCTGCTCAGATAAAACATGGCCTTGGGGATGGAGTCACACTGAGCCACCGTGGCTTTCTGGGGCCTGTGTGGTCGAACGCTGGTAAATGGGGGTTGTCAGCCAAGGGCTGGACACATGTCCTAAAGGGGTCCACTTATATACAAGGAGTATGGAAACTCTAGTCTCCTTTGTGGCCAGCGAGGCAGTACAGCCTCCTTACTCATGGAGTAACCTGTTGTGGTGTGATGAAGCGCGTAGCGTCCAGAGATCCAAGTTCACATCCCAGCCATGCTGCCGTCATGGTGCAAGTCGTGATAAAGCGGATGTAACACAACTTGATTTGACGGCTGAGGGAGAAGTGTGGAGAAAAGTTATGTAAAGTGGGGTGCAGCATACTTTGCACATAATGGCTCCATACATTTTTAATACAGTGTTATTAATAAATGTTAATACGAAGTGTGAGTGAATAAAAATTATGGCATTTTGTCATGGAAGTTTCTTTGGTTAGTTTACAACCCTTATTACCAGGCTTTATTTTTAGACTCTTGAAACTTCCAAAGTATTTTTCTATGATACCTAAAAAGCATCACTAAATTCATGTTAAATAAATAATGAAAAACCATGAGTGTTTTTACAAACTAATGATAACAATGTGATTGGCATATCCCTACCATTTACGTACCCATATGTTCAATTCAACATTTCTTATCGCCAAATTCTGCAGTTCTCTGGGAAATAGGCAGGGAGGAAGGCAGCATCCTCCAGGAGGGAGTTACTAGACTTCTGAACTGTAGCCCAGAATTTATCCTGAATTTTAGCCCAGAATAGTGACTGTCAGTTTCAAGCTTATAGTAGTGGGTACAAGTTCCAAAATTCTCATTTACATGTGAAAACTTAAATCTTATCTTTGGAGCACAATACAGTCAGTTGTTTTCCTTGAAATGACAGCTTTGCCTGTTTTCACTGACTGTGAGCTAACTCCTTGGGTCTGAATAGCCCTGGTTTGTCTGTCTGTCTTTCTTTCCTTTAAAATGGGATTCCGTGAAAAAAGCAACTGCTTCAGTTCAAAACCCAGTCACACAGTTGCTTTTCCTGGAGACGACCCTGTGTTTCGGACGCCACAGAATCGCTTTACGTGTACTTTCCATTTCATCACGCAGAACAGTCAGTGTAGATTCCAGGATCAAGATATAGTAAAATGATGAAGTCAATCATTTCGACTGCTTCACCCAAGTCGTCCTTAAGCGAAACGGTCTTTCTGTTTGGTTTTTACTGTGAGTGCATGGAGGTGAAGGATACAGTGACCGCTGCCACCATTTGGTGCCACTTCCTTAATTCCAGCTAAATTGCCAGCACTCCTACCCCATTCTTTTTGCACCATCAGTGCAAATGCCAACACAGTGAAACAGGCAAATCATCACTTGGGATGGTGACTAGGATCCTTCTGACCTCATGGTCCCCTGACAGGGCCTGCGGACTGCAGTTTGAGGGCTGCTGCCTTCCTCTCCCCAGGGCTGCTTGGATGCGCTTAGATCTTAACACCCAGCGTTACACGCAGACGCCATTGGTATCTCTGTGGTAATATCGCATAGGCTCACTTGGCTTTTGTCTTTGCAGGTGTGAATTGTGAAATCAATTTTGACGACTGTGCAAGCAACCCTTGTGTCCATGGCGTCTGCATGGATGGAGTTAATCGTTACAGCTGCGTCTGCTCACCAGGCTTCACAGGTAATGCTCCTTTTTGTTGGGAGGTCCCACCTGCAGCCCCATCACTTTGGGCAAAGGGCATCTAAAGGCAAATGACTTTTCCAGTGTTTCCTACTTCTTTGTCTCTTGGAAGGTTAGACGTTTGTTCCTGTGCGTCTCCGGCTCAGTTTTCTGCTTACAGGCCTTCCCTAAACTGTACCATGAAGCTTTTCTTTAGTCAGAGTTTTTAGACCATATGTGTATAGCTACCTGAAAAGAACTTCTAATCAGACTATGAGTTTCTGTCACTGTGCTTGAGTTATACAGCTTCCAAACCACCTTGATTTTTCTACGCTGAGTAGGGAATGCCTTCCGTAAAAGCAAAGCCAACTTAAAATTCTATGGAAAACCTTCATGCTTTTTTTCTGAGAACTTCCTCCTGTGGGAGCTTGTTGGATGACGCTAGAACTTGAGAGGTCCCACCTAATTTGGCTAACACCAGTGACATATTTTCTCCCCAGGAGGAAGGAAGGACATGCCTAAAATAAAATTGGTTATAATTCCTCTTAAATTATAAGCTGCCAGAGCATTTACACACTCACATGTGTGCACACACACAAACGCACACACAGCTCCTCTTTTTTTGGTGTTAATCAAATGACCTTTGTCTTTTACCATCCTGATCAAAAAGTGCTCGAGGCTACTGAGGACGCCTGAGGCCCCTGCACACCTAACTGTTAATGGCATCATCAGAGGGCACATACTGGGCCTGTCCCCCAGACAGGGCCACACACAAGCAGGCACTAGCAGATACGTGATGTTACCATTTCATAAATACCGCGTGGTCATTTGCAACCAATGTGAGAAACTTTGCCCAGAGCTCTTTAAACTATGGTGTCAGAAGGTCACGGAGCCAAGTGAAGTGGACAGCTGCCTCTCCCCTGCCAGGAACTTACTCTCCTCTGTATTTCACAATCCTCACTCCTGCTCTATGATTGTGGGTGCTGGAGAGGAATGCTGTGGGCCCATGAGTCACGCTCATCTTTGGGCAGTGGGAGACACTCAGACGACAGGCCTGGTGAAAGCTCTCCTACGAGTATGTAGTGTCCAGCACTGCTGCTGGTCACCAGAGGTACTTCTAGGTCCTGAAATGTGTTTCTCCAACATTAAGTGAGAGTCACCCAAATACACAAAAGGATATTAGGAGCACTTTTGTTAAATGGGTAGTGAGAAGAGAGTTGCACCCATTTATCAAGGACTGTTTTGAGCTAGGCATTCCATTAAGTGCCTAATCTCATTTAATTGTCCCTGCTATTATCATTCCTATGGTACTGATGAGAAACCCAGAGCTGAGAGAGGTGAGGTTAACATCAGTGCATTCTGGGTAGGATTCCACCCAGGCAGCCTTACTCTGGAGCACATGCCTGTTCCCACTTCACTAGACAGCCTGAAGGCGTGCCTATTGTGGCTTCTTTTTAGATATATAAGCCTTAGACTGGACTTTTTTTTTTTGAAATGCCAATGAATCATAGTCTCTGTTTTTTAACATTCAGCAAACTAGGAAGGTCAAGGAGGGAGAACATAGGCTAAAAATATTCTAAAATAAACTTAAGGTGTAGCATGAAACTACATAACCAAGAAATGGAATGTTTTGGTTACTGGGTGGTACCCTGTTCTTGGAACTGTTTTCTATGTCTGGCTTTTTTTTTTTTTTTCGGGTTGTTTTTTTTTTTAAATCAGCTGCTGAAAATATCAGAGACAACTGTGGTATATACTCATGAGCTGTAAATGTGAGGTGTTTTATTCTTTCCTATATTTTATTCTAATACTACTACTTTTTTAAAAACTAATTTTAATAATGGCTTTGACAGATTTGAGGGAGTTTTTTTGTTTTGTTTTATTTTAAGATAGTTTTGTTTTTTGTTTTGTTTTTAATTTTATTGAGGAACGGTATGTTTTTCCAGGACCCATCAGCTCTAAGTCAAGTAGCTGTTTCAATCTAGTTGTGGAGGATGCATCTCAGTGGCCCATGTGGGGATCGAACCGGCAACCTTGGTGTTATGAGCACTGTGCTCTAACCAACTGAGCTAACCGGCCGCCCCGAGGGAATTTTTTAAAGACTAAATTCTTTGTTCTTCTCAGGCCTCTTTATACTTACTGATTGAATGGGAAAAGTAAGAAGTCATGTGGTACTTCTATAAGCTACTTTTCAGTTTTACAAACCACTTTCTCAGTTTTACCTTCATATCCATTATTTTGCTGACTTCTCATTACAGTCCGTAAAGGTAGATAGGTTGAATAAGAAACAAAAAGCACAGTCAACAAAAACAAAAAAAAACAAATAGGACTACATTAAACTGAAGAGCTTCTGTGCAGCAAAAGAGACAATAAGTTGAAAGGCAACCTGCATAATGGGAGAAAATATTTAGAAACAATATATTTGATAAGGGGTTAATATTCAAAATATACAAAGAACTCATGTAACTCAGTAGCAAAGAAGCAAATAATCCAATTAAAAAGGAGCAAAGGACAAGAAAAAAGATTTTGTCACTATATATAGTGACGGATGTTAACTAGACTTATGGTGATCACTTTACAATATATACAAATATCAAATTATGTTGTATACCTGAAACTTTTATTATATATGTTAATTATATCTCAATTTTGAAAAAACACATAGGCTGGAGTTGCTAAACATAATTTTAGAAAATATTATTGGACAATAATTTCCAGGTAGAGAATACTGGACGTTTCCACTCTAATTTTCAGAGCTACCCAGTTTAACCACAGACTGATTGTATTTTTAAGTTGTCAATCATTTGTATTTAAAAATTCAAAATCATCTGAAACAGGTGAAGTTTTGAAAGCTGCACAATCTACCAAACTCTAGTGATTTTCAAATAGCATTTGAAAGGCTAATCATGAGTAACAAATCTACCAGATATTCTGCATTACAGATAATCTGCATTACAATGTCATTATAAAACTATGTAAAATCAGCAAAATACAATTTAAAAACTAGACATAAGTTTTATACTCTCTTCTCTGTCTAAATGTCTTACAGTAGTTTCTAACCAGTAGTAAACTGAATAAGTGTTTATAAATGATAAATTTATAAATGTTGAACATGTTTTTTCGGTTCTCTGGCCCTGAGTCAACCCAATAATGGTGTATCTTGCACAGGCACACAGCTAAGACCAGGAGAAATGAGGAGTATTGCATCGTGGCAAAGGTGGTAGAAAATTAGTTCATGCTTTTAAAAAGATTTAAAGTATAATCAGGAACCCAGATTGTGTACATAAGAAAATGACTAAAGACTATGGAAAAAAAGTATAAAAATGTGTATACATTCAAAAATGCATCAATGATGAAGGAAAACAAAGAAATGTTTAGAATCAGGAAAAAAAATGGGCAAATGACCTGAATAGATATTTTTCCAAAAAAGATATACAAGTGACCCATAGGTATATGAAAAGATGCTCAAAGTCACTAATCATCAGGGAAACAGGAATCAAAACCACAAGGAGATATCACCTCACACCTGATAAGATGGCTATTATCCAAAAGATAAGAGATAACAAATGGCAAGGATGTGGAGGAAAGGGAGTCTTTATACACTGTTGGTGAGGATGAAAAATGGTACAGACATTGTGGAAAACAGTATGGCAATTCCTTAAAAAATTAAAAACAGAACTGCCATATAATCCAGCAATTGCACTCCTGGGTCTATATCCGAAGGAGTTGAAATCAGTATCTCAAAGAGATATCTGCACACTTACATTCACTGCAGCATTATTCACAATAGCCAAGATATGGAAACAACCTAAGTGCCCATCAATGGATGAAGGATAAAGGAGCTGTGAGATATATACACATACATAGAATGGAATGTTGTTCATCTGTGGGAAAGAAGGAAATGCTGCCATTTGGGACAAAATGAATAGACTTTTAGGGCATTATACTGAGATAAGTCAGACAGAAAAAGACAAATACTGTATGATGTCATTTATATGCAGAATATAAAAAAGCCAAACTGGTAAAAACAGAGAACGGTGGTTACTGGGCGTGGGGAGAGGCGGGTGGGGAGCTGGGGAGATGAGGTTTAAGAAGACAAAGTTGCACTAGTAGAAGAATAAGTTCTGGAGATCTAATGCAATATATAAATGTATCAAACCTTAAAGTTACACAATGTGATATGTCAATTACATCTCAATAAAAAGTTCGCAAAGCAAAACCAAAAAAAAACTAGATAGGGAAGTTTTATTATCCCTATTTAACAAATAAGGCACCTAAGAGCTAGAGCCTGATGTGCCTGTGTAATCAGCTAGTGAGTCACACAGGTGGGACTCTGAATTCCCAGAAGGCAGGGACCTCCCCAATCATCTTTCTCTGTCAGTGTCTAAAGCAGTGTCTGACACAGAGGACACGCGCAGTACATGTTGCTGACTGAATGGCTAGGAGCTCACATATGTGGCTTCCGGACATCCAACCCCAGACTCTCATGTCTGAACTCTACCGTGATTTCATTCATTGCGCACTAATTTGTTGAGTACCTACCTACAAGTGAGAAACTGGTTCGCTTCTCATCCAGTGGTGCCTGAGTCCAACCAGTGTGCTCCTCCTTGTGCTGGGCGTTTCTGATGCTGGGTGGACACACGTTGAGGGGAGGACCTGGACATCGAAGCAGCTGTTAGTCGCATAGTGGACTGCACAAGGGGGCACTGAACCCCCTGGGCTCGAGATGGCTTTAACATTGACTCTGGAAAGAGCATTAAAAGCAAATGAAGAAAACTTGGGAGAAGTGGCTTCTGAGAAGATGCTTCCAAAAATAGGACAGAAAATGAAGAAGGCCTTTTCATTCTCCACTGCAGTACAGGCTGAAGACGTCTGGCTGACATATTGGTGCCAGTGGCAAACATCTAAAAACTCAGAGGTTGAGGTGAAGGAAGTAGTATTTCAAAATAAGTTATTAATAAAACACTTAAGAGGAAAAGAGCAACCACTACCAGATTATGGGTCTTTACCACAAGAACCACCAA